AGATGACCTATTTACCTAGGCTGGGAGCAGAATAGTTAAGGAGCTTGGAGAAAATCAACTGTAAATAGAAAGGCTATGTTTAACATAATCCTTTGCAGAAGACTCTATCTTCTCCAGTCCCTGTAATCAACCCTATAGTGTCAGGCGCAGTTCTTGATTATCTCCCTGTGGCATTATGTCTCACCACATAGCTGATAATAAACTGATGGATTATCAAACAAGATTACAGCTCTAGCAAATAAAATCATGTTTTGTGTTAAGAGAGAAAATGCTTACTATCCCTATCTGCCTGGCTAAATATTTACATATCACAAGCTTTCTAGGGTCCCTGTTCTTTCAAATCAGATTTAAAAAAAAAAAAAAAAAAAAAACAACGGCAGAGGTTAAGTTAACAAAAAAGGAACATCCTGTGCTTCTGACACTCAACTAAATACCTCTTTGGGGGTGGAAAAAAAAAAAAAAACAGGTAGTGCCTAAAATGTAGAACTAAATCAATTCAAGGTCTCAGGTGCCAGGGAGATCAACGGGTTCATGTGACAAAAGACAAAGTTGACTGTGTTAGGGGAGGCTGACTTTTAAAAGGAACACAAATGAAAGATAATAGAAACCTAAAACTTGCATGTAGCTGGAGTGTGTGCATGCAAGAAGGGGATTAAGGGACTTATATAAAGTCTCATGCTGATCTGCTGCTTTATACTTTTCAAAGCTCTTTTTCCTTCATCACCTATACCCACCCACCCCCACTTTACAGCTGACACAGAGTGAAGCCTAGAGGTTATAGGACTTGTCAAAGGTCCTGGAAGACAGGCCTCAAACCTAAATCTTTCCATTCTTAGTGCAACCCCTTCTGTGTCACCTGTCTGCTCTAACTCAGGAAAATGCTACTACAGAGGAGTTTTTGGAGTTTTGATGCTTTTTTTGTTGTTGTTTTTAAAGAATTTTCATGCACAGCATTCAAACTGGCAGGATCTGAAGTTAAATTTGGTATAAGAGTTGTGGAAAAGAAAAGGATGTAACTGAAAATAAGGAATGAGCATGTAAAATGCCTGATTCTTTTTTTTTTTTTTTACTTTTTAAATTGCATATTATTTTTATATTGAGAAGTCTCACTAGAATTCTTGTACAAATTTAAAAACAATTACATACGCAGGTACAGAATTAATGAATAGTTCTGGGATTTGTTCAACAGACAAAGCACACCTAGAGAACATAAAAATTCTTTATTCAACTTAATCCAGCCAGTATTGAGATAGTCCGCTATATTAAAAACAAGACATTTGAAAAAATTATAGCAGAATTAGCAAGGCAGTGACTAAGTCACTAAGTTTAATTTTATATTCTTCATAGTCATTTGATAATCATGTAATGATGAACAATATTTTCAGCCACTTAAATGGAGATAACTTCTGCAAAGAATAGATTTCTAATAGTTGTTGAATTTTATAAAAGAGGTTTAAAACATTAAAGTTTCTGGAAATAACAAAAAAGCAATATGAAAATAAACTAGAAAACAAAATATACCCATCCATCTCAAAAGGCCACATCATCTCTTGAATTTGTACTCTGCTGCCTTTCCTTTACCTCTTCATTCTCTTTTTCCTAGAGTGTAAAAACAATAGCAATTAATAAACTACTTCTTAGGGCGTATTTTGTGCTGAAAGTGCCTCTGTTCCCTTCTCAGTTAATTGCAGATAGTCTTCTAAGTATTATCTGCATTTCAGTATGAAGAGAACTGTGGGGAAGAAAAGTTAAGTTACCTGGCAAAGGTCATATGCAGTTATGAAAAGCTGAATTAGGATCTGAACTCAGGTCCATCCAACTTTCAGTTTGCCTACGTTCTTTGTTGCTTCATGGCAGGGCAGGCCACCTTCCCGGAACAACTGGCACATGGTATTTCTTAAGCTAAGGCTCTATAAGTGTTCCATTCCAGGTCTAGAGGTCACTCTGGTCCCCAGGCACTTGTAGTTCCTTCTGCATAGCCTTAGAAACGCCTCCCTCCTGCCCTCAAAGGATTATAGTTGTTGCTTCTCTGGCCCTCCAGGGCCTTGATGCCAATAAACCCAAGAAGTTATTCCCCATCTTGGGCATTAAAGGAGTAAATAGGGAACTGTGTGCTTGCGTAACATTAATAAATGCTGCCTAGAAGCTGTTCTGTATAACAAAACTATGCAGGAAATGTCTACTTAATATATCTTTTCATATTGAAAATTAAAGAAAAGCCAATATATTTTATAATTACAGCTATATCACCTAAGATTTTGTATATAGTCATAGATTTTATATTTCCCCTTCAGAATGGTAGCAGTGTTCTTAATAAGACTCACTCAGTCAAATCTTCTTTTCTCCCCAAATAATTACAACTTTTAACATTCAACATCCATTCACATAAATGCCATACAACTCAAAATTAAGACATTTATACTACAGAATGACACCAGTCTTTAATTACTAAAATTAACAAATATTATTACAATCTAACATAGCTCAACCTATATATGCTACACTCCTAAAGAAAGTGGCCACTTATCAGTAAGAAACATTTACTATTATCATGCATTAGATACTGTGAACAAAATAATAATAAATAAATAGGGTTTTTATAACTACCTTTAAAAATTAATTTTAGCTAGTGAAAATAATTGAAAGACTATTCAGATTGCTGGACATTAAGATGGCCACTCTATTGAAAATGACTTAAAATAAATAATTACTTTTGAAAAGTGAACACAAAACTACTTAAACAATGATTATTAAGGTGCTAGCCTCAAATATGACAAGCAATTAAAATCTAAAAACATTAGTATTGGTTTTCTATAATAAACTGACAGAGTCAAAAACAGTGACCTCAATATTTACTCAGGACTTGTTTTCGTAATTATCTCCTCATTGACTGATATTAAAGCAAAGAGTTCAAGGCCTCACCTTGGTATACTCACTGCTGTTTTTCTATCTGCTGACACTAAATTATAAACACCGTAAGAGCTAGGACCAACTCTCTTAGTTCACCACTGTATCCAACAGCACTCTGTATAGTGCCTGGGGCAAATATGAGGTGATCAACAAATATCTGAATCAATGAAAGAGGAGAATAAAATAATTTTGACTTTTTTGTTTTCATTTTTTTTGCAAATCATTCTCTGTTTAACTACTATAAACTGGCAGCTCTAATTTCTACAAATATGGATTTAAAAATCTTACTCCAGAGATCAAAGGATCTGATCTCTCTCTCACACACACACACATCCTCACACACACACAAATATATACACACACTATAATCAAGACTACATGAGTCAAAATTACATTATGAATTATGAGATGTCAACATTGTATAAATAAAATTTAATAGTGAAAAAGTGATCTGGAAGCCCTGTGAACTTTTACCCTACACATTTGGAGGACATCACATGAGTTAAGGAAAACACAACAAAATTTCATTTGTTCAGATAATTATTTGATGTTTACATACATTTTTGGTTTGTTACTTATTCATAACTAATTTACATTTCCTCAAATTAACATGTGTTCCTGTTTCGCAAGTAATCAAATTATGTCGGTGAGAAAAATCTTCATAGTACCTTCATTAAGTTGCTGATTCTAAGAAAACACTGAACATGAACATGTACAAAAGAGGCATTAGAATAAAACAGCATGTGCATTTTTAATATTTGTACAGTCTGATCTTTACATATCTGGACAAAATATGAACAAACTCAGGTTTACCATGCTAAGATAATGGTTTAGATGACTGCCACAAAAGAAGTACACACAAAACCATGAAAACGAATCACATCCTTAGGTTCCGTGATTACTGAGAGGATTTCCCCTGCCCTAAGTGCTTTATTATATTTCTTAAAAATATAGGAGCAGCAGCTTATAACAAGTCTCCACTAGTGCATTAATGATGGAATCAAAACGACACAACAGACTCATAAGGATGAGAGGACTGCAGAACAAACAGAAGTCACAGTTTTATGCTTCTTCTTGCTCTGGATAATTTAGAATTTTGCGGTGTGCCTGACGTAAATATTGCTGCTGTTTGAAGTAAACCTTAAATGCTCCTTTTATGGCAACAAAAGCAATTCCACCCAAGATTGTCCTTTGTAAATTAGAGTTAACACTACTGAACATCAGTTTACCAACTATTGTCGCAATAGTAGGAAAGACAGGGGCTCCACACAAAATTCGGGTAGCAGAGACATGATCTGCTAAAGGATTACCTTCGGCTGGAATTCGGGGAACAGGACAACCAATCCCTGGAAATATACTGTTCAAAATTTGTAGTTTATTTGAGTATTTGCGCCATAGTCTAAGCACATAATCCTCCCAGCGAATCATCTTGCCTAATATCAGCATGACAGGAATAGTAGGAAGTCCAATTAAAAGAAATAAAGGATCAGCTCTCTCCATAACATCCAGCCCTTCTTTATGGCCTACAACCTGCATCACTGTTACTGCTCCGTAAGTCACAGCTGTCCAATAGATAGAGCCAACCATTATTCCTGCTGCAGCAAATGGACAAGCTTTTGAGATCAGTCTATCTGCAAGATCCAAGACATAAACAACTGGACCCAACTTTGGAAAAACTATTAAGTATTCAGCATTGCACTGAGGACATGCCACTCTGGCTGTACTGTTTCCTCTTTGTTTTTCATCAACCCAGCGCTGCAGACAAGCCTGATGAACCCATTTGGTAGATCCTAGGCACCTGCATGGTCTCACCCATTCAGCTGTTCTATCATCTTCATCAGTGGCAAAACAAACCCAGCAACTTCTGTCCAGCATCTGCTGTAAGGCTTGGTCCGGCATCTTCCGCGGAGCCGGCGCACTTGGCGCTCCCCAGCGGACCCGGTTGGTGCCCGGCCCAGGGACAATAGCACTGAGAGGCGGCGGAGTAGGCCTCAGTCCCGCGGCAGCCGCGGACCCGCCACCCAGCCTCCCGGGGCGGCTCCGCGAGGCCGGCGGCAGCGGCGGGCGGCCAGCGGGCGTCCGGAGGAGGTGGTGGGCAGCGAGGAGGAGGAGCCTGGGGCTGGGAGGCGGCGATCGCGGCCCGAGTTCCTGCCGGTCGGCCCGGGGTTCCGGTCCATGGACCGCGGGCGCCGAGTGCCGAGTTGCTGCCGACGGAGGAGCTACCTCTCTGTGAGGTAAGGAAAATGCCTGATTCTTAAGAGAGAAAAATAAGTTTGGAAATAGTACACTGGTCAGTTTAAATTTGTCACCATCCCACAGAAAAAATAAAAGCACTAATGACTATCAACACTGCTAGCTGTGGAGTAAGTTATTGCAGATAAATGACTTCTTTCTGTGAAGACAGATCTTGTAAACATGGCAAAGCAAAGAAACGTGGGATTCTCTGCATGTGAAATTCAGAGAAGCTCTTGGTACCAGTGACTTTTTCATCTGCCAAACACAAAATAGCACTAGCCTGACCTTCATCACAAAGGAATCTCTGTTCAGTAGACTAGGAACGTCCACAAAAGTACCAGAGCTGGGTGCTCTATGCCTCTTGTGTATGCCACTTGTGCACGTGATCTTTCTGGCAAATCAGCCACAGCAATGGTGAAATGAGAACATGTACTCCATCCTCTCATATGCCTAGGGATAGAGTACTTTATGCACAATCAGACATCCAATAAATGTTGACTAAAAAAATGATTAGCATAACATAATAAAAATGTAACATTGTACTATTTCTCTTTCATAATGGCATGCCATCTACAAAATATATAAAATATAAACTGGTGGAATTATATATTTCCTCTACAAAAATTAGACTGTGAAAGGAGAAGCTTTTTAGAAATATGAGTAATGCAATAACTAACACATTTCAAATTATCCACAAGCTTATATAAAGATTATCAATGATAAGTATCTTCTCAAACTCCAGAAGGATTATCTCTTTGTAGTTTCATGTGTAATAAATGGTTTAGTTTTTTAAGTATAATACAGATGAAGTTATGCTTTATGCATGGTTTTACATTTTTTTCTCTAATGTGTCTAAGATCCTCCCAGATAGAACAGTACCTCATTGCATTCGGCATTCAAGAGTACAGATGCTTTAAGCTATTGTTATAGATTTGCTATATCCCCAGCCCTATTTATTTATTTATTAGCCGATGAGGCTACCCTCAAATTTGTAATCTTCCTGCCTCAGTCTCTTGAGTAGCTGGAACTACAAGCAGGTGCCATCACACCCAGATTCCTCTAATTTTTTAATGTAGTTAAAATACATTAATAACTTTCCTAGTGTACAATCATTATTGCGTTCCTGGGACTAATGCTACCTGTTGATAATGAATTCAATTTGAAAATATTTTACATGATGTTCTATATGTATGTTTATAAGGTAGATTGGCCTATAGTGGTCATTCTACATGTATGTGTGGTTGTTGTCAATTTTAGAATCCCATGGAATAATAAATGAGCTGGAATGGTTTCATCTACTTATTTATAGTAGGGATTAACTAGTTTTTAAAGATTTAAGATACAAAGCCCATAAAATTGTCCAGGACTTGTATCTTCCAGGGTATTTTTTTAAAATAATTTTGTCAACTTCGAAGACAATATTATTACTCTCTTTAGGTTTTCTACCACCTTCTGAAATAATCTTGATAATTTATATTTTTCTAGGAAAAATGTTTCTTTTCAGAAAGTTATGAATTTGTTATTTAAGGTCAAAGATTGTACACACTTTTTTAATTTCCCCCAAACTGGTACCTAAGGCTTCTCTTCCTTATTTCAGAAGTGTATTTGCAACTTTTCTTTTTTTTTTTTTTTCTGATCAGACTTAACAAGGGTTTTGTCTTCTTCATACACTACCTCAAAGAAGTAGCTTTGGGGTTTGTACACAAAGTCCATCGTTTGAGGTCCCCCCACCCCTGTTTCTGTGTCCTTAATTCAGTTTATTATCTCCTAGTGCTTTTTTAAAGATGTATTTACTGCTTCTTTTCTTAATTACTAAATCTTTTAACACCTTGCTATTTCAAATAAGTGGACAAAGGCTGTAAAATCCTCTAAGTGCCACTTCAGCCATATTCAATAAGTATTAATTGGAAGAGCTTTTGTCTTTTAAACTCATAGATGGTTTATAGTTTGTCTTTATTTCCTCTTTAACCCAAGAGTTATTTAAAGAACTGTGTATTTTTTCCCCAGATGGATGGATTATGGTAGATGGATTCACCATTTGTTATTATTTAATTTTAAAGTATTTTGTTCAGAAATATAGATTCTGGTTTCTACTCTTTAGATTTTATGGAATTTTTCCCAGTAGACAAATACAGGATCAAATTTTCTGAGTGGTCCAGAGATTAAATAAAATAAACTCACTATTTTATAAATAAAATTTTTGTAAGTATCTAAGATATATATATATATATATATATATATATATATACACACACACATATATATGTATATGAATATATATATATATATATATATATATATATATATATATATATGAATCAAGATTATCAAATGTATTTTAAAATTTTGTTGCCTGGATTTATTAATTTTTTTGAAAACTTGTATTAAATTTTCATACCATGACTATGGTTATTCCTGTCTCCTTCTAGTTCCATCATTTTGGGTTTTTGTTATTTGTTGTTGAGATTTTGCTGTTTTGGTTTGCTTTCTGTTTTACAATTTTGTCCTGCCTACAATTTCATGACTATTGAACGTTTTTGTCAAATTTTTTGTATTACTTTGCTCTCGGATGTCATGTATTTTAACAGCAGAAATTTGGACTTTTTCTTTAAAACTCTAAAATTTGTTATTATTTATTTATTTACTTATTCATTTGTCCTATTGTTTTGGTACCAGGGCACTTACCACTGAGTCACATCCCCAGACCTTTTTATTTTTTTCTTTTGAAACAGAGCCTCGAGGCGGGGCGCTTGAGCTGCTCGGGAAGTGGTGGTTGGTGCGGGAGCGTAGGTAGTTCTGCTGAGGTAAGGACTGGGAAAGTCGCGGTCTCGGGAGCCGGACCGCGTCGTTCCGGCATCAGTGATGGCTCAAGAAGCAATGGACTATGATCTTCAGGTGCAGTTAGATCATGCTACAGAACAGCTTGCTCCCACTGAAGTGGTCAGCAGCCAAGGGAGACCACCCCTCCTTCAACCTGTTCCTGTTGAAGGAGTCAGCAATCAAGAAAGACCACCCCTGCTCCATCCTGTTCCTGCTGAAGGAGTCAGCAGCCAAGAAAGACCATCCCTTCTCCATCCTGTTCCTGTTGAAGGAGTCAACAGCCATGGGGGACCACCCCTCCCCCAGCCTGCTCCTGCTGAAGGAGTCAGCAGCCAGGGGGTACTACCCCTGCTCCACCCTGCTCCACACATATCCATTGACCTGACTGAGGAAGTGGAACTCTCAGAAGATAATGTGCAGAACATTAATCCTGGGGCTTCAGAAGAGCATAGACAGGGATCTGGTGCTAACCATACTCTCCAAGCAGCTTCCTTGGATTCAATGAACAGCTTCATCAGTGGGCTGCAGAGACTTCATGGAATGCTGGAATTTCTGAGACCTCCACCTTCAGACCAAAGTGTGGGGCCAGTGAGAGCAAGAAGGAGGAGGGGGTCCACTTCTCGGAGGGCAAGAGCTTCAGGGTCTCAGAGGACCGACAATGCCAGGTTGAGAGCACCACTGGATGCTTACTTTCAGGTGAGCAGGACCCAGCCTCACTTTCCAGCTGCATCTTATGATTCAGAGACTAGGGATCCTGTACCTGAAGACTTGCCAGTGTCAAGCAGTTCTGATTCTGACAGTGAGAGCTCTGCAGAGTATGAAGAGGTTGTTGTCCCTGCAGAAGAGACTGAAGCTGTCATTTCAGAAGAGCAACTGGGAGATGTCTCAGCAGACCAAGAAGTTACATTTATCAGTGGAGACAAGACCCTTCCCAAACAGCAGTCTCCCCAGAAATCCAATCCTACTCTACCTTCTGCTTCTACGGATGAAGAAGAAGGGGATACTTGCACAATATGTTTGGAACAGTGGACCAATGCTGGCGACCACCGGCTCTCAGCATTACACTGTGGGCACCTCTTTGGGTATAGATGCATTTCTAAGTGGCTTAAAGGACAAGCACGAAAATGTCACCAGTGCAACAAGAAAGCCAAGCACAATGACATCATTGTCCTTTATGCCCGAACCCTCAGAGCTTTGGACACCAGTGAACAAGAGCGGGTGAAAAGTGCTTTACTGAAGGAGCAAATGCTCAGAAAGCAGGCTGAGTTAGAGTCTGCACAGTGCCGACTTCAACTTCAAGTTCTCACTGATGAATGCACTAAACTTCACAGTAGCATCCAGGATTTGCAAAAACTTGTTATACAGCATCGAGATCAGATTGCACAGCAACCCGGGAGCTCCCAGGCAAGTTTCCTAAACTGCCTGCCCTCCAGCCAGGGCCAGCACAAGTACCACTTCCAAAACACCTTCACAGTATCTCAGACAGGAAACTGCCGAATCATGGCATACTGTGATGCTATGAGCTGCCTGGTGATATCACAGCCTTCTCCTCAGGCTTCCTTCCTTCCAGGCTTTGGTGTTAAGATGTTGAGTACTGCCAACATGAAAAGCAGTCAGTATATTCCAATGCATGGCAAACAGATCCGAGGACTGGCTTTTAGTAGTCGTTCCAAAGGCTTGCTGCTCTCTGCTTCTCTAGACAATACTATTAAACTGACTAGCCTGGAGACCAATACTGTTGTCCAGACTTACAATACCAGACGTCCTGTCTGGAGCTGTTGCTGGTGCCATGATGAAAACAATTACATCTATGCCGGACTAGCCAATGGTTCGATTCTAGTCTATGACCTGAGAAACACAAGTTGTCATATGCAGGAGTTAGTACCTCAGAAGGCCAGATGCCCACTGGTATCTCTTTCATATATACCGAGAGCTGCCTCTGCTGTATTTCCATATGGTGGGGTGCTAGCTGGAACATTGGAGAATGCTTCCTTCTGGGAGCTAAAAGTGGGCTTCTCTCATTGGCCTCATGTGCTGCCCTTAGAGCCAGGGGGCTATGTAGACTTTCAGATGGAGAGCCGCACCCGACACTGTCTTGTGACCTACAGGCCTGATAAAAACCACAACACCCTACGAAGTGTGCTGCTGGAAATGTCCTACAAACTGGATGATGCTGGAGAACCAATTTGTTCCTGCCACCCTGTGCAAACATTCTTTGGGGGACCCACTTGCAAACTATTGACCAAGAGTGCTATTTTTCAAAGCCCAGAGAATGATGGTAGCATCCTGGTGTGTACTGGGGATGAAGCATCAAACTCTGCTCTGCTGTGGGATGCTGGCAGTGGCTCATTGCTACAGGACCTGCAGACTGATCAGCCTGTTTTGGATATCTGCCCATTTGAGGTGAACCATAACAGCTACTTGGCTACCTTAACAGAGAAGACTGTCCACTTCTATAAGTGGGAGTGACCTTGGTCTTAAGACCCTTCAGACAGGCTGCTGGTTAACTTTAAATGTTGTTTGCTATTACCTAGCAGCCCTGAACAATATCCCTGCTTATTGTCTGCAAGCTAGAATTTGAGGATCATGGTTCATTTGGATTAGTATGATTCTAGAAATCCAGATCACCAAAACACTATGGATTGTGTATCTGCTATGTCCATCCAAGGAGTGACTGGTATTCCATCTATACTATCCATTTCTCAGGTTATAAGCTTTCATGAATCTTTCATAAATCTTTGCTTTAGAGAGTCCTCTTAGTAGTCATTTAGGACAGGAGGATGCACCAAACATTTTCTGGGGGATATGATGTCCACCTGAGTCATTTTGTCTATTGGGCTAATTGCCTTATTGTGTTGCATCCTAAGGGGCTAACCCGCTTCCTGCTTAGTGGATGCAAAAGTCTTTTTTCTGTTGAACATAAGAGGGCACTGTAGAACCTTGTGTAGAATTTGATTTATTTTAAGCTTATAGGCTCATTAACCTTTTATTAACTAGATGCTCTTGTCCCCAACAGAAGCGTGTGGTAGTACACATCTGGTATACTTTATTGTATCAGTAGTCATGTTCCAGGCACATAGTGCTAAGGCGTTCATTAAGTCGAACAATAGACATGGCTAATGAGCAGTATGGGGCCTTGGCTAATGCTGAATATATTAAGCTTATTGCATTGTTAGACTAAGGAAAGGGACCAATTGTTGGAGCATTCTTTTCCAGATAGATTAGAAACTCGGGATTGGTTATCTAAGCCAGTGTTTCAAGACTACTATTCTTCCCTTCTGCTAGAAAAGGATCAAGGCTTTTTACTTGAATCTCCCCTAATATCAGATCAGGATCTAGGAACTAAAGAGAGCAAGAAAACCTGTTCAGATTGTTGTGGAGAAAAGAAGGGCTTGTTTTTCTCCCATTTTCATAAGAGTTCCTATCTGAATAAAGCCAATTCCTCAAAGTGAAGGGGTTTTTGAGCATGTTTATAATACCTAAGTAAAGGCTTCCCCACTTGAAACATGTTTCTGTTCAAGTTTCTCTGATTTGTCTCCCTAACCTTTTCTGTTCAAGTTTCTCTGATTTGTCTCCCTAACCTTAGTAAAATGATTACTCTCAGGAAGATAATTAGTGGTTGGAGACCTATGGGGATGACAGGGAAAGCACTCACCAACTCTCATTGCCCAACATTAGGATCCACTCTCAGGTTGTATTTGTCTGCTTTGCCTCAGGCTTTTCTGGGAAATCACTGTCCATAGCAGTACATTCCTGAAGGTATGGGCAGATCAATATTCTTGGGAGCACATGGCTAATAATGTGATTTTCTTAATTAAATAATTTGAAGAGGACTTTTCTTCTTCTTCCTTTTTTTTTTTTTTTTTTTTTTTTTAATAAAACAGTTCTTATCTGTCAATTCCTTAGTTGTTTCCAGGATTTTCTTACCATCAAGGGATTGATAGAGTAGATTTTCCCGGAAGTTCTAATGGTGTCTTTTAATGAAAGCTTTCTGTTAGAGGGTATCTTTCAAAAACCCAATGTATACAGCCTAGGAAAAGCCCCTTTTTCTCAAGAGGAGAGACTCCTTTTGATATGTTGATGATTAAGAGAGCTACCCTGGGGCTGGGGATGTGGCTCAAGCCTGGGTTCGATCCTCAGCACCACATACAAACGAAGATATTGTGTCCGCCAAAAACTAAAAAATAAATAAATATTAAAAAATTCTCTCTCTCTCTCTCTCTCTCTCTCTCTTTAAAAAAAAAAGAGAGAGAGAGAGAGCTACCCTGGCCTAGTGCCTCAGTGGCAGAATGGGATTTGAATTAAAAACTAGGAACACATGTAGCTTCAGCACATTACCACAGAAAGGATGTAGACATCAGGCAATGGCCACTTTTCTCTTGAGGCCAGGGCAGTGTTAGGATTTGACTTGCCTTGAAGTAACTTAACTAATGCTGATTGATTCTCCCAAGATTAGGAACCAGGGAATATATTACCAGGGAAGTTGCAAAAATATCAAATCATAGCAGTCTCTGAATTTCTTTAGTAAATTCAAGTTTGGTGGGGTGGGTGAATGGGGGGGGTCAAACCCAGCACTTCATAAATGCTAAGCATTCGCTTTACTACTTTGCTCTATCCTAAGCCTAAATTTTTATGTTTTAGAAGCAAAGTCACATGACTGACTGATTTTTCTAACAAGAAAACCTTACCCCACTTCCTATCCCCATCCCCACGCACAGTTGTAGGAGATCTCATCTATAGACCCAAACTGTACTCTCCTAAGCACATCAGGGTGTTTGTTCTACCATGTTCCTTCTTCATCCCATATCTAAGGTTTTCCCATTTAAGGGTGTGGGGTTAAATTCAAAATGATCTTGTTTTTGTATATATCCTTACACCTGCTTTGAAAATAGGGCAATGGGACTTCTGTTTGTTCAAATTCTGTATGTTTGTTTGTTTGTTTGTTTTTACACAAAAGGTGCACAACTTTTCATTTCTCTGGTTGTACATGATTTAGAGTCATACCATTCATGCAATCATACAAATTCTATATTTTTTATGTTTATGTTTTGTATTTTAAAGTTAATATGAAAATAAAAGTTTGCCACGTGT